TAGCTAAATAGGGTTCAAGGCACTACAGCCATAGATAGTGTTACCTAGGACACATTTGTTACCATAGCTTACTAAACTATTACAAACAACATTACTTAAGTTTTTAACAAAAATGACTTCTTCCTTTTGGTCCCTTCTCAAGATTGATTCCACAAAAAGAGGTGGTTGAACAAAAAGCTTTCTCTTAGTTTCTTTATCCTCATTTAGTTTTGTCATCATGTGTGCTACTTCATTCCCCTGTCTGAAGTTGTGCCTCAGGATCACGTCCTTCCTCTGGAGCATTAACAACCTGCATGCAGTTATAATGTCGTTAAAGATGTAATTTCCTTCATATATGCATTGTATTACCTGTATGCAGTCCGTTTCTATTTCGAGAGGAAATAGATTCCATTCTTGAGCAGTGGTGAGTCCCTCTACAAGAGCCAGTAGTTCTGATTCCAGTGCTCCATTTGTATGGATTGCTTTTGTGAAGCCTACTGTCCAACTCCCATTTGTGTTTCTGAAAACACCTCCCAGGCTACTTGGTTGATTTTTATTAAAGCTTGCATCAATGTTAAGCTTGTACCACCCCTTAGGAGGTTTATGCCATTTTACCTTAATGTGTTTCTTCTTTAAAGGGCTATTTATATTATCAGTTAGGAGTTTGTATTCAAGGGCACTTTGTATTATGAGATTTATATTAATAGTGTTGGAGGTATTATTTTAGTTGTTGTTATTTATGGTAGTCCAGGTATTCCATAGGATAAAAGGGAAAAGGGTGTTCCAGTCAATCAAAGCATTATAAAGATTAGCATTCAATTGCCTTACTTGGAGAAGCCAGTGGGTGCCATTAGTATTGTATTTAAATTGCCATCCTGCATTGTCCCAAATAGAACTACTAGCCTTACATTTGAAAAAAATATGGAAAGGTGTTTCTTCTGTCTTACAAATGGGGCACATAGGATCAATGTTTATGGTGATGTGGGCTAGATAGGTTCTACAAGGAAGCCGATTATTAAGGCATTGCCACATGAAAAATTTTATTTTGTTTGGACAGTTTTGTTTTCAAATCCAATAAAAATCTAAGTTACTAGGTTTTGACGCCTCTATTAGTGTGTAACAAGACTTTGTGGAGAATATACCCTTGTTAGTCATTGACCATATCGGCATATCCCATTTTGGCCCATATTTTCTAATTCTAACTTTAGAAATCTATTGCTTTATAGTGTCCGGGAGTGCAAATGAGAGATTGTTAAAATTCCAGTTTGTACCATCATGGATATCTCTAATTCTTATATTTAGGTCTTTAGGAGAGAGAGGTCCCTCAATTAGGCCCCGTAAATTTCTTGCCTCTAGAATCCAATTTGTGTTCCAAATATCCATATTGGTTTTTAAATGAGGTGACCAGGTTATTCCTTTATTGTACACGGTCCACCCCTTTAAAATGCTTTACCAAATAAAAGAGTGGGATTTTATGGCTTTACTATATCCATATGTCGTTGTAATTAAGTTTACCCAAGGAGTTGTAGTATTTGATATAAGTCTCCATGCTAAACTTGATAGTAAGCTTATATTTTTTGTTTTTGCATCTTTAATACCAAGACCTCTATTAATTTTGGTTGGCAAATAGTAGATCACTTTATTAAGTGAAGTCTTTTCCTTTTGGATGTAGTACCCCAAATAAAGTCCCTTTGTATTTTGTCGATATTCTTTAGGATTTTTATGGGGAGGAGTGTATATTGCATATAATGGTTGGGGATAGTATTAAGGCATGCATTTGCAAAGGTTGTTCTGTCAGCTATGTTTACAAACCTAGTTTTCCAATTAGCTAACATGGCTCTCATTTTTTCAAGGATAAAAAGAAAGTCCCTAAGCCTTGGGTTTTTAGTTAGAATTGGAAACGCCAGATAGGTTCCAAAATTATTGCATTTTTTTAAGCCTAGAGTTAATATAATATCCTTAGTCGTGTTTGGATGGCAATTATTGGAGAAGATAATTTTGGACTTAGTGGTGTTTATATTTTGCCCTGATAGCTTGAAAACAAATTCAAGACCTATTTTAATGGCTTGGCAGGATGTTTTATTTGCTTTGGCCAATAGGGTTAAGTCATCTGCAAAGAAGAGGTGGAAGAATAGGGGGCTTCTTCTGCCTATTTGAATAGGATTCTAATTTTTTATATCTACTTGATGGTTAATATACCTAGAGAACATTTCCATGCATAGAATAAAAATGTAGGGAGATATGGAATCGCCTTATCTAATACCCCTACTGGGCTCAAAAAAATTGGTGATAGATTCGTTTACTAGAACCCCTATTGAGCTGGTGGTAATGCAGCTCATTAGAAGGTTTGTAAACTTTGGAGAAAATTTGAAATATCTAAGGGTTCGGTAAACAAAAGACCACTCTAGGCGATCGAAAGCTTTCTCAAGATCAATTTTTAAGATCATCTAGCCCTGCTTCCCTTTTATTTTCCTGAAATTAGAGATTAATTCCTGAATAATGATCGCATTGTCAGAAGCTCTTCTATGCTTCATGAAGTTTGTTTGGAAAGGACTAATAATTTGTTCTAAGAAGGGCTTAAGGCAATTTGCAAGAATTTTTGTAATCATTTTGTAAATTGCATAGGCTAATAGGCCTAAAGTTTTTTACATTATTAGCATTTTGAAACTTAGGTATGAGACAGAGGTAGGTTTTGTTAATGTCAGGTGAAATACATTGGGTATCAAAGACTTTGTGACAAAAATTAATCACTGATTGACCAATGTTATGCCAATATTTTTGAAAAACGAATGGGTGCAAACCATCAGGTCCTGGTGCCTTGAATAATTTAAAGGAGAAGATGGCCCTCTTTATTTCAAAATCCGTTAGCGGGTTGTCCAGAGCATCTAGGTTGTAATCATAGTGACTATAGGGAGAATTTTTAATATCAGTCCAGTTGGTGCTAATATGAGAGGAATTAAAAGCACACTTAAAATAATTGCTAACATGGGCTATGATACTGCTATGGTCATTAAGCCAATTTCCGGCCTCCTCCTTAAAGAAAGTGATTTTATTAACTCTTTTTCTATTAGAGGCCGTTATATGGAAAAATTTAGTATTTGCATCCCCTTCGTTTAACCATAACACTCTAGCCCTCAGCTTCCAGTAATTTTCCTCCATCCTAAGGATATCATTATAGTCTTTTTTTTAGGTTGATCTCTAGTTGCTGTAAAAAAAAAAAGGCTATTTGCATAGTTACCAAATTTCTCAATACCCTGGAGTCTAGCAAGAATTTTATTTTTCCTTTTTTAATGTCTCCAAAAGTATTATTCTTCCATGTTTTAATGTTAGATATAAAGCTTTCACTAGCCTTGCAACACTCAATAACCTCCCAATGTTTTTTAACAATGTTTTGGAAGTCCGGGTGCCTACACCAAAACGTTTCCAATCTAAAGGGATGTTTATAATCTGCTATATTATTAGGGATTAATTCTACCAATAAGGGATTATGATCAGAGTAAGTTTTTGGGAGGTGAATAATCGAGCAGTTAAGGAAGATATCGAGCCATTGCTCGTTTGCTAGGACTTTATCAAGTCTTTCCATTATTAAGCTTTTATTAACCCTCCTATGATTTGACCATGTATATTTACACCCCTTATAGCTTCATTATATATGAGTACCCATACTTGATCTGCATAACAGATCCTTAATATAAAGTTATCACTACCCTTTCTCTAAAACTCATGAAGTGACACTTTTAGTTTAATTATGTTAATACCTTATCATTGTATAACTCCTACTAAGAGCCTGTTTGGCTTAACTGATTTAGAGTAGCTGATAAGCATTAGGTGCTAAAAAGTACTTTTAAGTGTTGAAGCTGATTTAATAAATAAGCAGTTACGTGTTTGGATAAAAGTGCTGAAATTAATAATTAGCGGTTGAAGTTGTTTGATTAAAAAGTGTTGATAAGCTATTTTTATGTTAAAATGACTTAAATGACCTTATAACAATTTACACTACTAAAAACGTTATTTTTTCGAAATTTTAGATTCTACATAGATTCAAATACAAAAATGACCTATTTATCATGTTATTTTAATTATAAAAATTATTAGATGATATATAATTTATGTTATAATAAATATAATCATAAATTAGAACGGGTGAAGTATAAATTAACAAAAGTTAAGAAAAAAACCTTAAATAATGCACAGTAGGGAAGAAACATGCACTTAATATAGTCACATGGGGACATTCATGAGAGGTACAAGCTAATGTAACGGTAGATTGTAAAACAAAAATATAGAGTGCAAAACGCGTAAAGGGAACATACAATAGCATGTAACTAATCAGTAATATTTTGAAAGAATATAACTCAACATATTAAACGAATAGTCTGGAAGTAAAAAGTAAAAGCTAACAGTGTGTTACCGCACCTGTGTATGTGTGTTCCCATATAAATCAATTACACCTAGAGCCACGAGCAGAGTCACCAATGGACAATCTACAAGCAGAGAAGAACGAAAGGGAATTCCACGTGATAGAAGAAGCAATAAGATCAACCCCTCTACTGTTGCAGAGGCACGGCTGGAGAAGGCAACGGCTGTTTACGTTTTGAAGAAAACTATACGAAGAGTTTTATTTTAAAAAGAAATATTTTAGGGATAGAATAGTAAATATTTTGGTCAAATCTAAAGTGCTTATAAGCTGAAATTTGATAAGTTGGGGGAGACCAACTTATGACTTTTGGCTTATTTTTGGTTTATAAGCTCTTTTAATTTTACCAAACGTATAGATAAGCTAAAAAGTGCTTATAAGCCAATTTGACCAGCATATAAGTTTAGTCAAACACCCTCTAAATATCCTTCGTGGGTGTCCTCTTTGGATACCTTGCACTTATCTTGTTCTTCAACAATTCTGCTTGTCTTTCATGACCATGTACATGTCATTCACTATCGTAAATAAATGTCATTCACTATCATATATTCAATTCATACATTCATAAATGTCAACCTTAATACACTTTGAAACAAATACGAAATAAAATTGTCTTTGGACATCGTATTCAAAGAACATAGTACTGACATAATCAAGGTTCTCCTTACAAGTTAGAGTTCAAATCAAATGACCTGTTTTATCTCAAATAAAACTTAGTTCTAACTAAATCATAAAAGATAAAGTAATTTTAACATGGAACTATGTCAAATTCACTCTTAATCTTAATGAATTCCCTTAACTTCTAGAATAAATTCTGCAACAAGTTAAGGATTTACGAATTCATCTATCCACAAGTCAAGTATTCCTTGCCAATAATTGATCTTACATCCTTCAGAAGTTCTGCAAAAGAATCACATAAAAGGAGAATTACAACTATGTAATAAAGTTGAAAAATACCATATGTACTGCATATTTTTCCAAACTTACCACTTCTCTTTTGGTCCCAAGTTCGTTAGTTTCGTTTTTTTTTTTAATTTTGTTAACCTGAGAAATAAATATTAGAAAGGTTACTTTGATAGTTTGTAGAATTCAAAATTGAGTGTAGAGTACAAGATACATCAACAAGACAAAGCTTATATAGCCCTAGAATGTTGCACACTTCTACAAAAATAGCATAAGAACTTTAATTTACAAGCAAAAGTCTAGAGGCAACACTGAATACATATGACAACACCTTTATACTAGATTTCCTTCTCTGACAGCATTGTAAAAGTTCTTTTGAACTATAAGCTCCACTATTTATAAATCACAAAGATATCATCCAGTACAGACTCATCAATTCTTAAAATGCTAACACACAAATGAACAATTAAAAGAAAAGGCTAAAATTAAGCATACTTCAACCAAATAGTGACTGAACTTTCATCAAACCAAACCAAAGCAGAAGAGGCAAAAATTATAAAGCAATAAGCCAAGCTAAAATTATCCTACTTATAACTCCCATATCTTGAAAGATAATAACCAGAAATAAATTGAGCTTCACAAAGTTATAAGATATTCTCAAATCTCCAAACAACAGAACATACAAAAATAAATACAACGAATCTGATGATGATATTGCATTTATTGCATTTGTCTAACTACTGAACTGAGGAGAAATAAAGGAATGGTGGAGATGTATAGAAAAGGTAGTTTTTTACCAAATGCATTCTAAGGGAGGTATAAAACTACTGTCCGAAATCTGTTTGCACTACAACTCAATCGGGTTGCAGCCACAGTACAAAATTTTCTGCATATTCGATATATCAACAACTAATTCCCACATATTCTACTTAAAAAATAAGATCACAACACCTGGCAATTAAACTCACAACTTTGATGTTGAACTAGTACACAATGCTAAAACTCACCTTACTTGTGTGAACAACTAAAACCGATGATAATGAGTCATTATAAGAAAGTAAGGATAAGACTATATTTATTTAATGACACAATTCACTGCAAAAAAAAAAAAAAAAAAAAAAAAAAAAAAAAAAAAAAAAAAAAAAAAA